AGTCGACGGTACTTCCTTCCTCTGCTTCGGTTCATTACCGGAGTATTCGAGACGAGAAATTTCCTTCGTCATCCTAGCATTCGAACCGCATTCCATTCTCTGCTTCCGAAGCACCTTCTGTGGAGTTTTTTTTCGTACGCAAGGTCACTTCCTATCGGAAGAAATTCGCGGGCAGAAAAGTGATAGGTGAATATTGCTCAAATTCATTAGATGACCTTTGCCAGAGAGGGAGTCTCGCCGCTGGAAGCGAAATACATGACGAATTAAAGTGTAGTCAAGGAACAGCTGAGCATCGATTCGAGAGTTTCAGTTGCGAGCGCTTCCACGCATTGGTTTTCGCTGCGCTGGGCGTCGTTGCTCGTTCGAGGAAACCACCTGAATCCGATTTCCCTCCAAAAGCGGAGGGGGGACAAGGAAACGTCAGCTGAAACAAAAATCCGAGCAAGGGACGGGAAGCGCATGCATTACGAGATGGCATCGCTAATTCCGTCGCAGTCTACTCATACCGGAATGATCCCGTGAGCTTGATCTTCCCGCTCGTAGCCTGCCCTGATCCGTGGGGCTTTTTTCGGGAGCTCCGAAACGAACCAACAAAACGAGGCGCGTTCGCTTCCGCTGCTTTCGGCAGCTCTCATGGTGCGTAGCTACGGGACCGGCAGCAGCGAAACGGGAGGAATTTTCGAATCGTAATTCGAATGTTTTCACTGAATTCAAAATGACCAAATGAGAAGTTCGGGTGGAACTGAGCCGCGAGCCTCAGCCGCTCGGCTCGAACAACCGAACGCTCAATGAAGCTGAGCCGCAGTGAGCAACGGAAGCAAACGAAGTCGCCCCACCCGATCTGCTCTATCTTCTACGGAAGCAAGTTCCATGGTCGCGTTACATTTCGTCGCGTTTTTCCGGCCGCCTGGATTAGGACCTGGATCATGATTGTTCGACCAGCTGCTCGCATCCATGCGACGGGATCTTTTTCGGCATACGGAGCTCGAATCGAGCGGAAAACTTCAGGAAGCGGAGGCGAGTCTACAGGATTTTCTGACAATGCTGCGATTACTTTCTATGTTACTCATCTTCCTGATCGATATCTTCAACATCTTCATCTCTTCCCCGCAGGCTGAATCCAAGCTTCCAATCGTCGCATGAAAGTTTCGATCATCATGACGTGACTCGCTAATGAGGCCGGATAAGCCGTAACATTATGTATTAATCGCCGCTGGACTCAATGCTCCGGATCAATGTACGGAGGAATGCTCTTCGTCTACTCGCGAATTTCTGCACTCAACATTCAAGCGTAGAGACCTCGAGAGAGGTATGAGAGGTACCCGGTCTCAGCCTGAACGAGCTCTCCGAAATCCTCACGGAGATCCGGTCGGAACTGATCTCTCTGAGGATCCCCCGTTTCCGGAAGGATGTCCCCCGTAACTCTCCATCATGCCCCCCGGGTGCCGGAAGAAATTTCGTTGAGCTTGGAACCCCTCATTGTAGGTAGCTATAAGTATGAGAGAAATATCACCGACAATGAGTCACTCGGAGCGAGTTGCCCCTGCTGAATACCAGCTCGATGATTGTCAGACTCTCCGTAATAGAAGAGTTGGAAATTTCATCTCCTTGAATACACGCAGAAGAATTACTCTGCAGACTTGAATGCGCGGCTCGAATTGCTTGGCGCGAGCGTACTTTCGCATCGGCGCCGAGCAAAACAATTACGGAAATGGAATTCGATGTCTCCTATGCATTTCGTTTTTACTAAAAGATCGTGCTGACGTAATCCCACAAAGATCGTTTCCGACCGAAATGGCTGCGCACCATTACCGCGAGCGGATGGCAATGAATCAAGCGCGTTCTTCAAACGGGCCGTATGAATCCGGCTTGAATCTGCCCGCCGCAATAAGCATGACGCTTTATCTGCTAGAGTTGATGATCTCGAATTGGAGGAAGTTGCTCACCTTCGAGGGCATACGACGCGGTTGTCACATACGATAGTCTGAGCAGTCAGTTCGGTAGGAACACTCCACTCAGACTTGGAGGGAGTCTTCCGTTGGAGTGAATATCATTATCATGACAGCACCCATATGTTGTGATGGGTGCGGATGTGAGAAACCACATGTTCGTGGAGTCCGGAAGGTCGGAACAAACTCCCTGAGAACAACAGAAGGTGATCGGTTCGAAGATGGTGAGACGATTGCCGTTCTCCCGCTTGGAGTTTATCACCGATAAAGGCTGTTTGTATTCATTCATTGAGTTAAGCAGCTCTCGCAGAGATTCATCTCCACTAACGGCCAGGGCTTGGAATCCGACGCAGCGTCCCTACTCAGGTGCTTCGCGTCATTCTTGGATTGTATACCTCGAATGCAGTCGGATAATATTTACGAATGTCAGCTGGGGACCTCTTCATTGAGTCTTTGATAGCACAGTCTGAGTGCATGGACTCGACTCATTGTGTCCTTCGATGGAATGAAGTTCGAGAAAACTGACGGAGCCCGCGTCGAGGTCACGCAAACGGTCTGTCGCCTCTTTCAAGGCTTCACAACGCGCGTTCTCAGAGAGCGTAAGTGTCCGCGAGCTTCTTGAAACTTCGAAATTGTGGATCTGAGAGTTTTATTTCTCTTTCGACACCTCAGTACGAAACAGTGAGCTCTGCGCACTGCTCCCGACGACGCCGAAATCACCGCTCATGACGGCATTTCCGTGGGGCTCCCTTTCTGACTGAGTACGCGCACATGTCCATCGTGTTCTGGGGTAGGATTCGCATGGTTGAACACACGTTAGATCGTTCGGGTGACTCAGCCACTGTCCAGATGGGATCCGAACCTGTGCCGAGCCCTGACAACACCCGACACACCAAGCGTCGGCGGGCGTAGGACGCGGTGAGCTCGGGTAAAAGCGATTTCGGATTCCCACAATCTGAATTTTTGAAGTTAAACTTTACTTAAATTTATATTGCATAAAGGATTCAAACTTTCGCAACACAGAGCGAAAAACGATATAGCTTCGAGTTATTCAAGTGCACGATGTGATTGGAGGAATGGTATACGACAGAAACCCCAAGTCCTCGGAAGCTTCAACGAGTCGATTGGGGCCTGAATAGCACAGAAATTTTTGTCGAGGCTTCTCGTGCTCTCACACGTGAGCCGTCGACGTCGAGTGCGAGTGAAAGACAGACGGTGCCTTGACATCCGGAGTATGGCTTTCCGAGCCACGGAGTCCCTGCGGGCAGGTTGTCAAAGCGTCGTCGTGGTGTCGAAGGCATCGCGGACACAAAGCTTTGTTGCTTTCGCTGAGATCTGGCGACGAGGCCTCAGTTTGCGAGAGAACGAGCGCCGCCACGCTAGGGAGTTGTCCACGTCATTGGCTTTTGTTGCTCTCTGCGTGGAATGAAAAAAAGAAAAGAAATAAAAATGTCTTTGATGACGCTCCGGCAGCGACAAAGTCAAGATTGACTTCAGTGACCGTCAGAAAGTCAGTGAATGTGGAGGGAAAACAGAGCTTCGAAAAAGAGCGCTCCCGAATAGAGAGCTGAACAGCTTGGGGAGTGCACAAAGCAGTATTGGAAATCATCGGCGGCAAATGTAATGATTTAGCTAATAAGTTTCCGCGCCATGTCGCGAAAGCGAGCATGCTTGGGAGTCTGTCGGACATTTTCCCGGGAACGGCTTCGAATCATCGAGAAATCTCCGCTCCCCGCGAGCAGAAAATAGCGCTCTGGGCGCAGAAGTTCGAGGCTCGCAAGTGGTCTCCGACTCGATAATGACTTATACGACTTTCACATGCTGAGTGAGTGGTCGTGCCGCGGAGCTACACAGGAAGAAGCACGGTCATAAATCTGATACGTAAAGAGACCTCCGCGTTCATCGAGAACCTGAACGCGGGAGACGCCAGCCAAGCTCCATCAGCTCTACTCGGTCGTCCCGGCTTACATAACGGGCTCTCAAATTGAATACTAGGCGCAAGAGTTGTCGCCGAGAAGGGCGTCGTGGAGGATGCGTGATCACGAACGAATCCCCCCGCTCGAGGCTCCCCGAAGCCACCCATTGTTTCAGCGGAGTCGCCGTGCAGCCGGACGCACGGCAGAACTCTGCCAGATCTCAAAACCACAATATTTGCGAAAGGTGGTTGGATCCGATTGTGGGACTTGAAAGAGGACCGCTGTAAAATCAAAACAACTCTCGTAGAGCCGGCGTCATCGGTCCGGAATCTGATGGCACGCGCAGAATGCGAGGTTTTCTGTTTCCCTTGATTGGTACCGCTCAATAAATGACTTTGTACGCGGTTCTGCTCCGAGTATGCATGTACGTGATTCATATGCCGAATACATGGGAACAAAGGAAAATCCTCAGAGCACGATGAAGACCCCTCGGACCATAGAAGGACCATAAGACATGAATCGAGTCGGCCACTCTCCAATTAGTAGAGAATCTCGACCTATCTAAAGACTTCAGATCGAACGACGGGGATCTGCCAAGAAGCTGTTCCATGCCAGAGAAGGGCGCTCTCGTCGGATCGCCGTGAGACGAGCTATCCCGGACAGACAGAATTGGCGGTCTGTTCAGGAGAGACATCCGTGAACGCTCTACGTGACTATAACACAATCTCCAATTTTCACAGCCCGGCGACTCCGTTGTTTCTCTTTTCCTCCGACAGCAAGCGAGAGCGAATTTTCCGACGACGAGAGACTCCTCTGTGGAGGAGCATGCCTCGCGGAGTCTATCAATAGCGATATCAAAGGAATGGGAGGAAAACCACCTGTAGACATAACCAAAGCCTCAAGAGGCTGAATCATGAAATCGTGAGATCACTCTTGAGACACGAAAAACTCAGCCGAGGTGCTCATTCTTTTGACTGAGGTCTCACGAGTCCCCTACGACAGAAGTGCATCGACCACCATCGAGGTCTTGCTCTCCCCGATCTATTGGCCGCTCAGGTGAGCTGCAACAGCGCTCAAGCTCCTTTCTGGTGCTCCGTCATTCGCTTCGACGACAAGGGGATTATCGTCAACTTACCCTGACTTTGCGTATGTAGGAGTTCTGTATTATCCTTTTCTCATCTTCACTGGAGTATCCTGTGTCAGTCATTTTGACGGTTCTGTGGATCGGTGCTCCTCTCCAGATATCCCAGAGGAGAATCTCAGTCGGCAACAGCGGTCGAGTCGTCAGAAGAACACCGAGGACTCCAAGCACCGTGATAGTCAAGAAGGAAGCAACTCTCGACGCGGAACTCGTGTGCAATTCGTGAGCGATCCTATAACATAACACTCGCGCCGTCAGCGAAACAACACGGAAAGTTCACCAGGCAGTTCCACACAAATAACTTTGACACGACTCTCCGAGCGCCGTCCGTAAACTAAAGGCGGTTGCTGTGTTCCCCCATGACCGACGCTCTCACTCAGTTGCCTCCTCGCCTTCTCTTTCATGGAATGTTTCTCTCCACAAGATTTCGCTCTTCCTCTCGACTTTCATCTAGCTGACGAGCTGACTGATGCTGACGCTGCGAACATGCTGCCGGCGCCGCAATGCCGCCATGGTTACGAGGATCGCTACGCTTGAGGCGCCACCTGGTGGCCAGGTGGAGAAAGACGCGCGACTATAGAACTCCGCCTGCGGAAGTCATCTCGCGCGGTCCGACTTCGACGTGATAATGAAGGCCAGATTAACGCCTTAAAATAAAATATTGACAGCCGTATGAGCTTCTGAATCAACTAAATTCTTCTCGAGACCATATGGGACCATCGAGACCCGCCCAAGATTGCGCTGCGATTGGTCGAGCGTTGATTGACGGTGAAAATGAGAAAGAGTCCTGGGAACGACTTTTAATTAGTCAGAGGCCGATGGTGTCATGCTTCGTCAGAAAAACTCTCTATTCCGGCTGGCCAACACGCCGATCCAGGGCCATACCTGAAGAAATACAAAATCTCTTTCTTGATAGATGCAGAGAGACAAATACTATCGGGCACTGAAACTTCCGACAGGTCCCCTAATTCGCTCTGGATGAGTTGCCTGAACGTGACTCACAGCAGAGATCATTCCAGAGGATCATCCCAACTCGAACTCGAAATCGTGAATTTTCGAGACTTAATGTTCTCTCTCTTGGTGTGTTTTCTCTCTCGAGGCAATGTAGATCTGGCCGGAATTCTTCACCGTTCCGTTAATCCCTCAGGTCTAGGAACCAACGTGTGGGCGAACGTCCGAGATAGACAATTTTTTCCGAGTCCATGACGAGAAGTTTACCCGGCTGATTTTCCCGTAATTCATCGGGCTGAAACGAATTGTCCTCGATTCGGAAGGCCTGCATGCTGCTAGAACCGAGTCTTCCTATCGCTTCATCCGCCAGGAAACTCCTTGATTGAGGTGTCCTTGAACGATACGCACGCCTCTCACTGATGCCGCCACGATTCGGGTCAACCTGGACAGGTGGGAGAACTCGCGATCGTTTATTGGAAGCGAGTGAGCCGGGTACTGAAATTCTCCACCAAATATCTCATTGAGGAAAGATTCGATCAACCGGACTTCGTTCACAGTCGGAGGAAACCATTCCTCCTTAAATGGGGGTAGCGGATCCAATTCCTCTTCGAGACGTAGACTGAGTCGCGATGTATCGGCGGGAAATCGGTCGAAGCTGTCGAGCGACCTCGTGGGAGACCATCGAGACGAAGAATTTCTCTTCCCACATATCTCTCGCACTTGTCTTCTCGATCTTGTTCTCTTGAGTTTTAAGAGAATTTGTTCTCGGCTCAGAATCTGAACTCGCGGATACTCGACGAACCGTGGGGATTTGGAGTCCCATGTAGGTTGAGACCTACGGTCCCGCTCACGGTGCTCCATTTCTTTAGCAACAATAGGTCGAGTGCCCTTCGACTGTACAGCATCAGGTGCAGAAACCCAGCATTGCCCCTGGTCATGCGGGATACGGGACCTCTTCAGAGGCTCAGAGGAACTGCTCGTTTCGCCGATCCTTTAAGGTACCTTTAACCTACTCCAGATTAGATATTACGTCGAGAATTTTGAATCCTTCGACGATTTTTCCCTCATAATATATGGGAGCGACTTTTCGTTTTGTGAAAGGCTAATATTGCAAAGTGGTTCTCCATGATAGAATGAAGCCATTCCGGCGAAGTTTTGTACAAGGAATGCTCCTTGTTACGCAACATCTGTGGAGGCGGTCACCAAATCCACTGAATCAGATCTGCCGCACAAAAGTCCCCCCGGCTGGTGGGTGGAATATCGTGACCAAATGACGCCGTGGATCCCGTCGGTCAGTCCGAACCTCGCTCCGCTCCGGCGGAATCTGGCAGCGATTGACGGGAGTCGTAATTTCTGATCGATTCACAACTCGGAAGCCGATCAGACGCACGACACCGAACAGAGAGAGAATCGGGAGAACAGAGAGCTAATGAAAAAATGAAGACAGGAGTTCGGTGATGAATGGCAGCCCCAACGAGAGAAGCGCTTGTCACTTTTTATTACGGCTAAGCGTGTGTTTTCCGGAAACCACCCTGAATACCAATATTTATTTTTGTTGGAAGCTTATCCGAAAATTCCCTTTCGAACTCTTGATCTGATTCGTCGGATGAGCAGGATAGCGATGGTGCTCAGATCATGGACAAAGATCCCTTTTCGAGAGCAGGCATAAGAGGGAAAGTATAAGAGAAAAGATTTCAGAATTCATAACGAAGGTGGAAGGAACCCTTGCTGAGAATATTGTTTAGGATAGTGATGATCACCGTCGATCGCTCGTGAACAACTTTCGAGCCTTTTTTCCAATGTGTTGTCTCTCCTGCTGAAGGATCGCTCGTGGGTTTGCTGCTCCGAAGTTATTTCCTCTCCAATGAATGGCCTCTGGATATTTCATTATCCGGGATAGGTCAACAGATACTTTTTGTGATTCTAAGTTGATAATAATTAATGTGGATGTGTTCGCATCCTCGCAGGCGATCGGATCCCCTTATGTTTCCATATTACAAATTAATTTCTCAAAGTTTTCTGGAAAATCAGTGTCCCGAGCTCTGTGAGGAAAACGAACTGAGAGCAGCCACCGTCTTCATCGGATTTCTTTCTCATCATCACGCGCTTCTCAACTTTTCTCAGAGGTCTGTCTGAACCACTAAGGTCGTGATGCGCTATTCGGATTTTTTTTTCTATCGTCGCCTCTGTCTACTCACACTAGTTTTTTTTGTCTTCTACTAAGAGAGCGAGCTCCTCCTCACCTCAGATCACCTCAGTAGACCTTAGTATCAACAACGGTCGTAGCAAGATCGGAAGTGGTAGTCTCTTTCTTATAGTAGTGGTGGTAGTTTTCTTGTTGGTGACTCACATAGCGGGGATACTACGCCGACGCCATCTCCCAAGCTCTCCCGCCGTCTCATTCCCTCTATGAGTTGATTGATCTCATATTAGGTTGAATTATAATTATAAAAAATCCTATAAATTGGGTATCACAGCTCGGTACAAGCCTAAGCCGCGGACGCTGAGAACGTCACGCTATCACGCAGAGGAGCCTTCAAGCTCTGATCGTGATCTTACAGACTGGAGGTCTATCAGAGATCGATACGCTAATTCAGACGTTTGAGATCTTCTGGTAGCAACGAATCATCTGGTAGTCCGGTCTGAGGTACCGAACAGCGTTCAAAAAGCAAAGTTTTCTCTTCCTTCCAGTTACCATCTTCCCATGACTTTTCTCCTTCGACTGTCGTTCTAGGACGATTTGCCTCGACGCGCGACGTGTATCCACGGAATCGATCCGCAGGCATGACTGTCACTCGCTCGACCGAAGTAAAGGACTGTCGAGTCGAAGGAAATCATCTCACAATCGATAGATTAGAGGATTAAGCAATCAATCCTCACATGGTACAACAGTATATACAGTAATTCCTCACGACTCCATTCCCTCATTTACACCACTGTTCCAGCCATGGACTCATTCGTTGATCCAATTGACTGCAATCAGATGCGAAACACGTGCAACGGCAAGTATCGGACTCATCATTTCCGGTGAGTTGTCCCCCGTTTCCTCTCCGTTCCCCGCGCGAGCTCGTAACGCGGCATGAGGACTCAGTGAGGCGCCCCACGGTCTCGAGGAACATCGACTCGGGGGGATAGGAACTGAGACTGTCCAGATTATCGACACCCATGTTCAATAGAAGGCATCCTTCCGGAGACCGGTTTCAACTACGAGTGAAGACGCGGCTCAATCGTCGATGGTGATCGCTCTAGGAGAGACGTCGACGACGAGATTCTCGCTCCTTTCATGCAATGGTGTAGTTTGGCTCGGGGGCGCGCTAGAGTGTGGTGGGAGGCGTGCGAATGAGAGTCGGTCTGATGTTTTTGGTGTGTATAATTTGCTCAGATCCGAAAGATCCGTTTCCTGAGATTACTCTGAGCATCATCACGGATGGTTCCCACGAGCAATTCGTGGCTTTCGGAAGAGCAGAACGAGACCGTCGCGTCAGTCTGTCTAGACAGACGCACGGAGACGGTATTTCGTCTCTGCGACGGGAGTCGAATCGTGGATATTTCAATTAAGGAGTCAGGCCTTACTGTACGTCGGCTGTGCTGACTGTTCCCCAAGCACCGAAGCCTGGTTAAGAGAGGGTCAACCAACTAACTCGAGAATCCCCAGACGGAACAACATTTAGTTGAAAACTTTGTTTTTTTTCCAGGATTAAGAAAACGCGGTCACTGGTTTCGAGTAGAGAGCAGTGGATATACAGCTCGCTCTATCAATGTATTGGTCTCAAACTTGGGATAATTTTCAGTGGAGCCAAGCTCCGAAACACCATCAGGTAACTCGTCAATATGCACACTGTGACACGCGCATTGTCGAACTTTGCATCTGACTTTTTCCGTCTGCTTGTCTGTCTTTGCTGGTTGAAATTTCTTGAGTGGATGGTGGGGGTTGATTGGGCGGTTCTTGTTGATGTTGTCGTTGTTATTGTTGTTTATCGTTTGATTGAGTGATAAGGTATGCGGACAAAACTGTACTGCGACACCGTTTCGTGGGTAAAACCTAAGAGACGAAGCTTTTTTTTCACCGGAGACCATTCAGCAGAGTAATAATGAGATATAGCAATTGGATGACGACGACGACGGCGGCTTAGACCGAAGCATCATTCTTCCATCATGCATCCCACCACTCATGCGAAGCGCTACCGGAATAACCACCGCCGCCGCCTCCGTAGCCGCCGCCGCCTCCGTAGCCACCACCGCCGCTTCCTCCGTATCCGTTACGATGACCTCCGCCACCCGACGAAGCTCCGCTGCGTCCTCCGCTGCTGCCGGTGTTGCTGCTGCCTCGATTGCCGAAGTTTCCTGCGAATTCAGAGGATGCTCGATTAGCAAGTGATCGAACGAAGAGCTGTCCGAAGGAACCGGATTCGACATCACTCAGCCTAGGCCCGCGGAAATCAACTCGACTCACCTTGACGATAATCTCTGGAGGCGAATCCGCCGCTCGCGAAACGCCTGCCGCTGCCACCGCCGCCGCCACCTCCTCCTCTGCTGGAGCGGCTGTAGCTTCCGCGGTCGTCTTTGGCAATGCTCAGCAACCAATCCGGGCGCTCCTGTTTTGCTTCCTGAAGGAGTTCAGCGAGATCCAAAGCGAGGTTTCGGTTCTTGTCATGGAAGAACGAGGTGGCCAATCCGAGATTGCCGACACGTCCCGTACGCCCGATGCGATGGACGTACTCTTCAATGTCGGTAGGAAGATCAAAGTTGATGACGTGCTTCACGTTTGGTATGTCGAGACCACGAGCTGCGACAGCTGTTGCCACAATGATCGGAGTTTTTCCGTTGCGGAAACTCCTGAGAGCGTCTTCACGTTCACCCTGACTCCTGTCTCCGTGGATCGATGTTACCGGGTAGCCTTCTCTGATGAGGAAATTCTCGAGGCTATCGGCTCCCTTCTTGGTTTCAACAAACACCAGCGTGAGGGTCTCGGAGGATCCTGGCGCAAGACCGTCTGGTCCGCAACGCAAGCCTGCGGCCTCGAGAAGATCGAGTAGGAACTCACGCTTGTCCTGTTCTTCAACCCAAACAATTTTCTGAGTGATATTCTCCGAAGTAGAACCCACACGACCGACAGCGAGGAAAATGTAGTCGTGCAAGAAGCTAGTAGCGAGCTCTTGCACCTTTTTGGGGAACGTCGCGGAAAACATCAGTGTTTGACGTTCGCCCGTTTCGGGCATACCGGAATCGTAGACGATCTTCTTGATCTGGGGCTCGAAACCCATGTCCAACATTCTGTCGGCTTCGTCGAGCACGAGGAACCGAACCAGGTCCAGTGCGACCTTGCCCCTCTCGATCATGTCCCAAAGACGTCCAGGTGTCGCGACGAGGAGTTGACATCCCTTATCCAGATCCCGCATCTGGTTCATGGGATCCGCGCCTCCGTAAACGACGCAAGCCCTGACTCGGCTACGATAGGAGAATTTGCAAGCTTCGTCATAGATCTGTTGGGTCAGCTCTCGGGTAGGCGAGAGGATGAGCGCCAGGGGATACTGCTTGCTCCTGCTCGATTGCCTCTGCGGTTGAGGAATCTTCTCAGGGGGTCCATCGACGAGCAACTTGTTGATCGACGGAATGAGGAAGGCCGCCGTCTTGCCCGAGCCAGTCTGTGCGCAGGCCATGAGATCGCGATGCGACATGACGATTGGGATTGCATATTTCTGCACAGGGGTGGGCACCGTATAGTTGGCCAACTCAATGTTTCCTCGGAGCAGCGGACATATGGTGTCGCAGTCAACGAAGTTATCAATCGGTTGAGGGGCATCGTTTCCCGATACCTCAACTGGAATATCCTCGTACTTTTCGAAGTTTATACCGGAACTCGTGCGGCCAGCATGGGGTGCGCCGAACAATTTCCGCTCCAACTGCTCGTCAGGAGGCGATGGCTTAGTCCAATCATCGCTGTACTGCTCAGTCCAACGACCATTCGAGCGATTGTCGCGGTACTCTCGGCCATATGACCCCCGGCTGCCGCCGCCGCCGCCGCCAAAAGTTCCTCCTCCGCCGCGCGATCCGAAGTCTCCGCTGGAAAGAGAAACGAATTCAATTGATGATGACAGAAACAAAATAAATCGGACAGGACGCGGTTCGTCACGGAACGTCAGCCGTCAGGGACGACAATCGAGCACGTTGAACGGCATCGGGACGCAACCACCATGTTGTGAACCCGAAAGCCGTGGGAGACCACCAGTCTCACGATGAGCAGCCTCGAGTCGTCGAGTGCCGCCGTGACAAGGAACGACGAGAGCGAAGCAGGTACTTACTAGTCTTTCCTCGTATCGAAACGGTCCCGACCTCCCTCGCGATTGAACCCGCGGTTGAAAGCTGTCGATTAGAAAAACTCGATGTTAGGGCTCGGCGAAGAACGCTCTCCAATCGAAGATGGAGATTCCAAGCGATCGGGAGACATGAATTGAGCATGGATATATGACAGAAATATGAATCATTGAATTATTTTCATCATCGAAGGATCCAGGGATGCCAGTGCGGCGATCACTCGTGATCCCGGGGCTGCCAACTCACAATCACGGGATGGGGGTGGAGCGTCCCTTCGATAGTCTCGCGCACCAAAGTTACCGAAGTTCCTTCCTCCCTTGTCACCGCGGCGTCCTTGATCCCCCTCGGATGGAAATTCAGACGAGAGTGCAGTGCCTCCTCCTGAAGCAGCACCTCGAAGGGCCGGCGGAATGTACTTCGCTGAAATTGATCGACGAGCTTTAACGCTTAGGATCGACTACGCGGATTCGGGATCTCCTCGGCAGAGATGAAAATCTACATCATGATCGAGTTCTCTGTCGAGCCACCCACACGCGATCCCACGCAGTCTGTTCGAGAGGTCAATTCGAACCATAACAGACGTTTGCGGAGAAGAAGAGATATCATCCGACCCCGTTCATGCTCGCGGGCAGAATGACCTCATAAGCTCCGTCATCAATGCTTCCTCGAATAGATTGAACCTTCGACGCGTGACGTTTCAACGGAGCTTTACTAAGCCCTTGTTCGAGTATCGAAGTTCACTCGAACACTTCCGAGCCGCTCTCACTGCGAGAGCGATATGAAACGGTTGAGTGTCTCGACCATTTCGAGCGGTCACCGGATATGGGTCGAGACGCCTCATCCGCGAATAAGAAACACGAAACGGTCTCGCGCAGCATTGAAATGCTATACCGGGGAGTTCAAGTGCGACGGGACGGAAACTCGTTCCCGTCTCCTGCCGGATTTAAAACTTTCCAGAGATGCGACGTAGGAGATAAGCCTCTTTGGGATCATTGTTCCCTCGTGAGAATTTGCGACCTACGACGATACGGGTCTGCATCTGTCACTGCTGAATCGTCCGTGGCCGGCGAGGTGTAGAAAAAAAGTTCAAACCGCTGGAATGAGCTGGACTTCCCCTCTCTCCGGGATCGACGGTCGAGTAAAAAATAACTCGAGCCGTACGGGGAGTACTCACCAGGCTTCGAAGAATTAGCACCAGGCTGGGATTGGCTACCTTGATTGGAGCCGTCCAAGTCTAGAGCAGCTACCTGAAAAACGAGGTAAAAGAGTGTCATCAGACCATGTATTGGGAACTCTCCTCTGAAGCTAAGAGTATTTCACTTTTCTTGGCTCGATATCCGGCACTGGATCTTCTGTAGAATTCCGTGAAAAAAAATCGCGCCTCCCGCAAGTACCGTGACGGAATCGGGAGCAGCAGCGTCAACGGAAACGAGGAGTTCGGAATAGACATGTTTCTAAACGCGATGACGTCAGCACAGTCGTCACGTGTGGCGCTCGTCGACGGCTTCTTCAGAAAACTGCTCACTCGATTCATGCGCCGAATCTGGTGGCTAGCCAAAGGGTTGCTCACATCGTCGGTCGGTCGAGCGGGCGGTCACTTACTCACTCGAGTCGTTGGAATTTTTACAAGAAGTGATGCAAGCGGAATCGCAAGGCGGAGACATTTGTCCACGCTATCGAATACGGTGTGGTAGAGCTACATTCATAGACATATCTGATTGTATCCCCAACACCGAAGTGGGACGACCTAGAAAGTCTCGCCGATACGAGCACTGACTCAGATCAGGACGTCAGATTCGCTCCTGCCAACTTTCGGGCGGCGACACGACGCTACGCGCGATGTCTCGATATATAAATTCGGAGGTACTCGATACACTGCAGGGTCTCGGTCTGTCCCACATACTCGCTTTCTAGATACCCGAAATCACCGTGTCGATGATATTTTTTCTTCTCGGGAGCGAGGCGGGATACAACACCATTTCGGCACGGGGAAGAACGAGCTCGAGAGCTCGATCGTACGAGTCCAAACGGCCGCCATATTCGACGGCGCCGGACGAGGAAGTACCTTTTTCGATCAAATGCGAGGGAAGAGAAAAGAGGATATATCGAATTACAATCCGGGAGTTGGGAAGTCTCGAGTCGATTGATTCTGATCGAATGTAGAAGGCTCAGAACGGCCCTGTGAGGAGGCTCCCGAGAGAACGGTGGCTGCACGTGTGCAACCTCAACCGATTCATCCGGAAGCCTCGCACGCCGCGAATCGATCCAAATGTCGTGTCTAGATCTAATCCCCGCGAAGTCGAGCGATTCCTCGATGTCGGGAGATTCTCAGCGATTATTGGACTCGGAACCTTTTGAAATACTCCGTTGCATGTCTCGAGCCTCGAGTATACTCATTGGGGTCCCACGGGGACCACGAAGACGCGAGCCCGCTAGAATCATGGAGTACTACTATTTAAGGAAAAACACCATTATCGGCCCCGAAGGATGTGGAAAGCGACCTTCCTGACGCGCGGACTACGGACGACGGATATCGCTGAGGAACCCGGGTTCGCAGGCCGAATTAGGAGCTTTCCCGCGATCGTTGCCGCGAACCGAATAGCCAAGTCCACTTTAGGCCTGCGACTGCGTGTCGTCGTCATTAGCCTGGCCGACTGATCGGAGATTCGACGCATATAAAAGCTCCAAATACTCACTTGCTGCGCTAGACCTTTTTCATTTTGGGCTGACTCAAATGTCATAATATCTTAGAAACTCCGTTTCCACCGAAAACTCCTGTCGTTGCGTTTCAGTTCGCAAGATGATACACAACAGCACTTCCTTCGGGCTAAGCCGAAACCGCATAGAGAGAATGGTGGCGCTTCGATCGACGGCTAAATCAGCGGATCCGCTAGCAGCGACAATATTTCGAAAAAGACCGCGAACTTCGGAAACTCGATGGAACAACCGATACGGAACCGTTCTAAACCGGTTAGAGGGGAACGAAGTTCCCTGTGAGCACTTCCAGGGCTTGCGAATCTCATGACTCCCGAGCCATGTGAGAATCGAAGTCATTCGGCGATAGCTCACGGAAGTCCGCCGGGTTTGCGCATAGGATACACGAGCGCGCGGATGACTCGCTGATCCCTCGCGAATATAGGACTCACATTTTGAATAATTGGATATCTTCCGACATTATTTCACGGAACGACAAAGCGCCAGCCTCGTTCACATCCTCCATTCTGATAACATGCAGACTCCTCGATGCCAGAGGAAAGCTTTCTTGTGAGTGTAGACCATCCCTTATTTCCAGTTTCAACTCCGAGAATTGAGGGAGAATCCATGAAGCGGGAGCGGCGACCCCCTGGGGAATAGCTCGCGATATCCAGACTGGAAGCAAAGGGAACTTACAGCTGCACAGAGAATCGCATTCGTTGGAGAGCAGATCACAGGGGATCTACCATACTCCTAGATCGATTGAGACGATTCACATCTCATTGGGTATGCAAGGACAGTCCGCGGCGAGATTCAGCGCTGAATCGAAAATTTCCATCTACATAGATAGATCGGAATCGCCGGACAGCTCTCGAGTCGGGACGCCGAGCTACACTAGGGCTCCGTGGAACTCCACGGTTCCGTGGGGCACTTTCCGGGGCTCCTCGGGAACGCTTCGGGGGTTTCGTGGCGCCTCGATTGACCGGCAATGTTGTCCTCGATGAAATTGGTATTCACCGTGTCTTCGACATAGAGGGTCTAATGTTCGGGGCGAAGAGCAGAGTATGAGCGCGGACCTTCCCGCTGCGGGATCTGTGCACTGGTTTCCCGAGGACTCCTCGAAGCCCAGTAGGGGATCCATGCCGCGAATGAAGTCATTATACGCGGGCGTAATGGCGTAGAGTCGGGGCGATACATGTACACATTTCTTAATCTCCAACATTCCAACGTTCCGACTTTCATTCCAGAAGTTCGATTGTTCGGATTGAATTGGATGAGAAGCAGGGTTGGCCTGTCTCGGGGTTTCCGCCGCGTACCCTGAGCTAATTCCTATGCTGGACCTATCCCTGAATCGCGCTCCCGCGCTCTTCCCCAAATAAGATGGGTGCTTGGCCCTCGACTCCCGGCACCACCGCGCGGTCGAGCTCGAACAAGCATAGCAGAAGTATGATCTTCCTGAGATCCGAGAGCTGCGACGAAGCTCAGTGTCCTCGAAGGCTCGAGCTCCGTGAATGTCAGCCGTTCTCTGATGAGTTCGGCGGTGAAGTTTTCGTTGTAATGTAGAGCCAAGCAGTTTCCATAAAATAATTGGCTCACAGCATCGCTCCCGCGGTAACAATGTTCTGAATGACCAGCGGCATATGTGCCGTGTCATCACATGATCTAACGGGTAGCCACGCTTGATTATTCTTTCAATTCGCGTCGAACGAGCCGATGCTTGAAGACGAAGACTGCATGAAGAGCGAAGTCATCTTCTTGTGAGAGGGCTCAGCGGCGAACCTTCGCCCACTAGCGGAGTCAGAGCGAGGCAATGCCCTCGGATGGTTCGTTACGTTCGACCGCTGAAGAAATAAATGAGAGAGAGCTGCACTCGAACACGAAATGCACGCTCCGACCTCAAGCGGGACCTTCGCTGAGAGCGAGCTCGCTCGTGAAAAAGGATAGAACTCAATTTTGCACGGTATGTTCATGGAGTGACCGGTGGCCCTTCGCAAAGAACCTTGATTCGAAGTTGCCTCGGTGTCTCCCCGATTTGCTCCAAGAGCGAGCGCTGGTCTGCGTAACCGGGAACCGGCCCCAGTGTTCGTTCGGTTCGTCGTGTTCGAGTCTATTTCGTAGTTTGTTTTCAGTTTGTTCCGCAGACGGAATAATGCGGTGGTGGCATTTCACATTGTTTTGCGCATGCAGCGCGTCGTTCTGCGAGGCGTCGAGTCCGGAACCGAAAGTAGCGGAAAAGCCGGGCGAATCGATTCCCATCGTCGACGGACACGGTGGCACTATCGACATCAAAGTGGACTCCGACGTCCTGATGCTGACTGAAGACAACTTTGACATTATCGTCAATGCTAAGCCAATAATTCTCGTGAACTTCTTCGTGCCTTGGTGTGTTCACTGCCAGAAACTCGCGCCGGAATACGCGAAAGCCGCGAACCGCCTGAAAGGAAACGATAAAATCCCCAGAATTCCCCTGGCAAAGGTCGATTGCAACTCTGAAAGTGCACTCGCCAGACGCTTCGGCATCGCGGGCTACCCGACGCTCCTGATCTTCCAGAAGGGACAGCATAAGGAATACGAGGGTGGTATGACCTCGGACGCTCTCATAGAAGAGATGAGGAAACTCACCGATCCCGACTACAAACCTCCACCACCTGCGGTGAAAGTGCTGACCTCTCAGAATTTCACTTCCGTCTTGAGCCGAGTCAAGCTCGCGCTCGTCGAGTTCTACGCGCCTTGGTGTGGGCACTGCAAACAACTGGAGCCGGAGTTGGAACGTGCGGCGCGGAACCTCGAGGAGCGGGTGGATCCCATCCCGATTTATAAAATTGACGCCATCGCCGAAAAGGACATCGCTAAAGCCCTCGATATCCCCGGGTATCCGACGATGTTCGTGATCAGGTACGGCATCAGATTCAGATACGACGGCCCTCGCGAGGACAGCGGTATCGCAGCGTACATGATCCAGCAGGGGAAATCGCCCAGTGAATATCTAGAGAGGCAACCTCAGTTGAAGAATGAGGTGAAATGGTCGAGGTTCCCGCTTGTGGTCGGAGCCTTCCAGTCGCTAAAGTCGAAGTTTTTCGAGACTTTCATCGAGGCAGCGAATTTCGAACGGGGTAACTTCTCCTTCGTCCACACCGATAAGTTCGACGTCGTCAATGCTGTTCTCGGGGTGAAGCAGATGGATACAATTGCTCTACTGCAGCCGGAGTGGCTGCGATCGCCGTACGAAACTGTTCGTCTCATATACACCAACAGCAAGGCTAAATCGCAAGATCTTCGTGATTGGTACCACGCACATTGCGTCCCGCTCGTCGGACATCGGACCAAAGAGAATCTCTGGATGTACAATAAGTACCCAATGGTTGTGGCCTACTACGATGTCAACTTCTCCCATGAGTACAGGTGCGTTTTCGAGTAAGATGCGGAATCCAACCCGGTAGTGCAGGCTCGACGCTTATTTCCGATGCTCGCGTCGGATCGCATTCTATTCCACAATGGGAACTCAAACGTACGGGGACTTTTTCCGTTTCAGAGCCGAGACTCAAATTCCTCGGAGACAGATGCTGTCCGTCGCCAAGGACTTCCGGGATTACCACCCGGAACACAAACTCGTATTCGCTATCTCTGACGAGGACGATTTCTATGAAGAGCTGAAATTGCTGAAATTAGCCGACAGCCCCACGATAGTCAATGTCGGCTTCTATATGAGCCCCAAAGAGAGGTAAATCCGCGATATTCCGCGCGTCCCTAGGTAGATTTGCGAGACCGGCACCTGAGAATTAGGTCGAGATTCAAGCTCCGACACGATATGCAGTCTTCGTATCTTACAGAGCTGAAGCAATTATTTTCTCCATATAGATACGCGATGGAGCCCGTTGAGGATTTTGATGATGATTCGCTGAGGAAGTTCATCGACGATGTTTTGGAGAAGAAGTTGAAGCCAATCAGGAAATCTCAGCTTGCCCCGAAAAAGCAAAGCGGAGCGGCCCGAATCGTTGTGGGTTCATCGTTCGAGAAAGAAATAATCAACGAGGACAAGGATGTTTTCATTCTATTCTACGCTCCTGACTGCGGTCACTGCAAGAATTTCATGCCCGACTTCAAAAAAATTGCCAAGAAATACCAGGGTAGGTCTTGTGTGTGACCGTTCCTCCAGGTCGCTCGAACGAGCGTCGTGGAGGTATTTTGAGCACAAGCGTTTCTTAGTACAGAGTACAGACGCATGACAGAATATGTTCCCGATTGTCTCATTTCGCGTCCGAAAGGAGACGATCCGCTGATTTTTTCGCTGGAATCCTTGGACGCTTCATCGACTCCCAATGAAATCGCTTCATTTCCTTCCAGATTCGGACCTGAAAGTCGCCAAGATCGATGCTTCGAACAACGAGTTCCCAGATGAATTCGTCGTTACAGGCTATCCAACCTTGTTCTACGTTCCCGCGAAGGACAAGAAGAATCCCATCAAATTCGTCGGAGAACGGAACCTGAGCAATGTTCTCGATTTCATCGAAAAACACAGAGCGCACGGAAAAGGCGAAAATGCGCCAGAGGGCCAAGAAGTCAGAAAGGACGAATTGTGAATGCAAGCCCAATCCGCTTTAGAGCCAAACTTTCGGATCTAACATCGCCGTTTCCCCACGGCAGCTAACCAGGGTCCTCGCTATCTTGCACTGAGCTAATCGAGCGGCTCTGGGTTGTATCCTAGGTAGCACGAAACATAAGACTTTTTCATGACTGATTCATTTTTGTGAATAATTCTCTCCGCGTCCAATTCCTCTTAACTCGAACCAGCGGAAACCAGATATCCTGTCGAGATATTCTTCTATGACATGCCAATAGTCTTATGGACAGAACGACGCACATGCCGCGATCGAGTTCGAGAGATGAAATAAAAAGCTGGAATCTCCGTGGGAAAGCTCAATTATTGCGTTGTGGCCTTGGCTGGCAACCGGGATATGAGACCTAGTTTATGACTGACACATTCAGCGAATAAAGACTCGCCGAACGGATTATCGAGGGTGGCGTATTCTCGGAGCATTCTGTCACGGCGAGGATGAGACTCCGACCGCTTGATCCTTGGAGACTCGACAAGGAGCGCGCGGATCCTGACCGACATACTTGAGATCGGCGCTATAGGTACGCAGACACTCGATTCAGATCAGTTCCTCAAGAATTGTGGGACCCTGAGACCGGTATGCCCGGACACTGGAGTCAAGAGAGGAAAGAGAACATGTTTTCGAATCACCGAATTCGGAGTTATGATGAAACGCTCAAAGTGTAGGCTTCCACGCCGGTTTCGATCCCACTCTCCGATGCGCGGTGGGAGCTTTTTCGGACTACCAGAACGATAGATTCTTCACTCTCAGGATGTCAGAGCTACGGCTACGCGTCGAGTACCGATTCTCCCATGCCGAAGCTCAATAATACCTCCATGGTTATTTATTTGAACTTCTGAGGAAATTCAGCCGGTCCAGAGAGCGCGTTCTCTCGAAACGCTCCTCGGTCCTCCCCGCAAAGTTCAGCGACACATGCTCGTGGAAGTCCGAATCTCCACGTATCGTCTTACCACCCCCTTGCCAAGTCTGATCGGTTCCTATCTCGATACAGGCGGTGGGAGCTCCGATTTGCTTCCAACCGTCTCTTCCGATCCGACACCTCCTGAATAAGTGGAGCATTCAGTAGACGCATAGATATCGAATCCCTGATTCATTCAAAAATAGCTCAACGAATGAAATCACCGTAAACGTCATTCTCAATCAGAATCAGGTCGTCAGTAGAAGAGTTGTTCCGGAACAAATAGTTCGCCAGGGTATTTCTTTCTGACTCAGATCCGAAAGATCGCGCGAGCGTGTGTACTCGAAGGAGGAGCCCATGGATCTTCCACAAGATCCGAACCTAAGTTTCGTCTCCTCCGAAGACAGAGGCCGGGAAGCCTGCCAATTTGCTCTCAAGGCCGCTCGGGAGGATTGAATTTCTCGTTACCGGCTCCGTCTGTCGGGAGTCCCCATCGACCGATTCGATTCCGAACATTCGGATACCTCTTTTTAAAGCTCCTTGGGGCAAGCTTAGGGGACAGTTGTACTTTTGGGAAGTCTACCATTCCTGGGAAAGCCGAGAGAGCCCGTTGCTTCGAAATCCTCGTCGGAGTCGGATGTGCCTCTGGCTTGGAGCGTGTGCCACTAAAACTCCAGAGTGACGGAACCGCTCGCACATGTTTCTCGCGAACGGCGAGTCCGTAATCATTGGCAAGCACAAATTGTCTCACCGGCTGTATCATCTGCGAGTGAAACGGGCTCAATTCGACACGGAATCGTTTTCGGGATGCGCTAGGCGTTATCACTACAGTAGAAGTCTGCCGATAAGCGTCCTGAATTCTCAATTCTCTTTGCACTCCATCATATTCATCTTTAAACTTGCATGCTGACGTATATCTGAAACATCGGTGGATACCGACAAACTCTAGAAATTCTACCCGGAGGTGAGCATGATCCCCGTCCCCATCCTCCGGTAGGCCCCGGGATCCCGTCTCACGAACGACTGGAGTACGCTGCCTGGAGCGTACCAGATGCGGGGACCCGTCATGGCTGAGGTCTAGATATAGTACACGCAGAAACTCTATAGGCGGGGATGCACGGAAATAAAGCACGAATACGCCGCTCTGACGGTCTTGAGCTAACACAAGCAAGGTCTGCGGAATCATGGATAAGGAGTCTCACAAAGAGTATCCCCCTTTGACTGGCGAGACGGAAGTCTAAAAACACGTTCATCAAATGGGATTTCGTCAAAGGTGAGCGAGCAAGATGTTTTACATTGGATTTGCCAAATCGAGTATTCGAAACCAAGCTCCCGGAATCGCGGACGCCACTCTCGGCATCGAGTGACGGTGCCTGTCATCGGCCCTACCGATTGAGCTTGACGCCTAAAGTGTAATAAATGACGATTGGTGACTCGTTTCCCGAGAGACTTCAGATCCTGTCTCAAGAATAGCCGTCCGTGAGTGATCATATCCCAAGAAAATACAAATTACCTTCAGAGCCTTCATCATTCGAATGTATGATCCGGATCTCACTCAGAGCAAGGATACCATTCTTCGTATATCGAGCATTGGAGTATCTTATCTCGAATCCCCAGAACACCGGAGAGCGAGCTCTGGCTCATCGGAGAGAGTCGATCGAACTCACCGAGAGAATTCTCTACCAGGAGCCACAGATGGAACGTTGAGCGATGACGGAACGAGGGATCATTGAAGGAGCTAAGTTCCCGCAGTATCGACTTCCTGCGGGAGGCAGCCTCAATGACTGACCGACCCATTGACCCGCACACTGAAAGACTTGAGCATGCAGATGGATCTGGATTAGGATCGCCTTCAGAAATAGTTTTGTCGAGCTTCGCCTAAATCGCGGAGTACAGAGGCGAGACTTTCTAGGGCATTCTGCTGCGACGGGAAACTGAGCTGTAGGGAACAAACAAGAACAATTATGCGGTCTGAATGTTTTCGAATCGGCGGCGACCGGCGACTGACATGAGCTGACGAGGACGTGAGACGTCGAATTCATGTGGTCTGCTCAGACTGACTGCGTGCCGACGCTGAGAAGCTTCATCCGCCAGCGTTTAGGTGCATCTCTCCCGGAGTCTTCCCGGGATAGCACTTGAATTCATCCCCGTGCACGATAGTTCGGCTTGACATAAGTCCGGCATATCAGAATCAGTACGATATGCCGGAAAGAGAAGTTGAGCAAATGACATTCTTCGATAGTCTCCCGCGACCTCTGTGAGGAGACGCACATCGACGCTCCTCCACTCCTCTGAGACGAGTCAGGAATTGAAAACCGCGTTCGATGCTCGCTTGTGGCTCCGACTGATGCTCGGATGATTCCTTGACTAGGCAGTCAGAGATGGTGGGGTACAGGCTCGTCTGCGGCTGTTTTTTCATGGCTCTCATGGACATAATTTCAAGGCAGCCTGCGGAGTCTGTTATTGGCACTTATAAGTTATAATGCGGAAGGATTCTACGATCCCAAATTCTGAAGCGTAAAGCAGCCCGACTCCTCTACCGACACGACCACAAACGATGGAATCTATTCCGTACGGTTACCAGTCCCTTCTAGGTTCCGAAGCAGGGGGCTTGATCCACGGTGGATCCTCGACAGCAGACAATCGCTAATGGAAGGAATGGTCTCTGAATAGTCCGGACCAGGTTGCGAACACCAGGGCCTTCTCCAAGGGCCGGCCACGACGCCTCACAGCGTCATCGCGAGCCAGTTCTTGATGAGTTTCAGAATCTACCACGCCAAGGAACAGGGGATTCGCCTGGATTGGGCTCAGCTTGACAGTTCGGCGATTATTCTACGAACACCTTGGGAAAACTCTTCTTCTTTCATGACCGAAACGACTCTAGACGGAATCGGAAAAGCTCTCTCTCATAATATGAGGACTCTCGATCCCGAAGATCTGTTCGGTTTCAGTCGGGCCACTCGAGACAGGAACGGGCAGAGACAATCCAACACGAAGTGACCCCGCGGCGGACTAAGGTCTGGGCAAGACACGAATTAAAAGCACTCGGCGCGGATCTCCCCGTGTTCATCTGAGCTCTTCCCCCCCCCCCCGAGCCCGTTTCAGTCAATAGTTCAAAGGGAATATCCGGATTCCCTACGATTATTGGAAAACTATACGGAGCATAAAGGAGCTTCCGAATACGAGTCCACCATTGTTCTCGAGAATGCGCCTGCATCAAATATCCGATTCGTAGCTGAGAGAACCGTTTATTCTAACCCCGTCCGTGGATGACATGCGAAATCGTGCCACGATTTCTGGGGAGGAGCCTATTCACTTCCATCGTCTCCCTATCCGATCGCTTCCTCAGCAGTGAGAACTTCATGTCGGCGGTTCCTCTCTACATCCCAGTGAAATCATTTCGCTAAACTCTAAACTCGGGAATCACCCTTCCTAGTATTGTTCAAACAATCAATATTTTCTTCTCGACAAAAAGCCCTAGCGGTGCTTGGAGCGAAGGCACATGCGAACATGAAAGGGGTGGAGCCTTTCCTCCTTTCTTTGGACGGTCCTTTCTCAACATGCGGTAATACATAACCTCAGTCCACGGCCAGAACGTGACAGAAGAGTTTGGTCAGTTCGCAGCTGAGTTCACATCGTGCACTTCCGCGTTCGTTGTTGTTCCGTATTGTCAGCTTCTGAAGACTTGCAGGAATCCAGGTGAGTTCACTTTGCGCCGCGGGAGTCGTCTCTATACGCAACAATTAGACGGGCCTCTGCCTGCCCTCAACCACGGGTCACTTTTCGCGGCGTCGATGTCGACTGGGTCTTCGAATACTCTCTTCCGCTTCTTCGGGAAAGAAGCGAATCGGAGACTTTGATTGCCAGACGTCACTGACGTTTTAATTCGAGAGCCGGGGAGGAGTGCTTGTACGGATCGGTCCTCGTTTGAAGAGTACCACTCCGAGGCTCTCCATCAATGGCAAAAAGAGCGAAGCTCGCGCGTCAATCGGAGTTGGCAGGGGTTTAGCTTCATCAATAGAGCTTGAAAACGATCGAACCGTTTAATCGACTCCGTCCACACAGAGCGACTTATCAGCGCTTCCTTGGCAGAGGAGAGTTCTTGCGTTTCCGTAGTCGAGC